AAATGAACTTGCCAAGTCCGATGGCAATTACCTACCTACCGTTGTCATCGTTTCTATAATAAGTCCGTTTGTATCGGCTCGCTACACCTCGCCAGGCTCAACTAATGATGATAACGAATGCAAGGACTGATCGTCCTGAATTTGTAATCTAATAAGGAAATGTAATAAAAAAAAACAATGAATAAAAAAATACTGTCGTTTTTCAATAGTTTTATAGACAGCACTGAATGTGGATATTACTAGTACATTATAAATGAAACTTTACTGTTTTGCCAGAGCAAAATCCTTGAAATAGGTACCTAGTGTTTATTATAGTTTAAAAAGTAGATCGCCTATAAAGTTAAATGGATTATTGATCAATTTATTGAATGTCACACTGGGTAACATCCCGGTATCAGCTGTCGCCGTCGCTGCCGTCTGGCTGAGTCGGGTCCGTTCAATGGAGCGACCTGCAAAGTAAAATTGATGCTCTACTTTGTGGATGCGGATGCATACCTGCATTGATTTAAACTTTTACCATAATAAATATTCGAGACGAATCTATCTTGCTTTAGGTATTACATCTTACCAAAATAATCCTTTATTGTCCCTATACCTACCTAACTTTTAGATGTTACATGGCGGAAGATAGAGTTATTTTAAACAATTACGCATCTGGTAGGTAAGTTAAGTAACTTAAAGCCTACAGTCCCTTTACTTGTTTAGCTATTGCTTATTTAAAAATGTAATTCCTATTGACGAAAATGCCTACAAAATGATTATCGTACATCGACGTGGAAGAAAGGTATTATTTTCTGCTGATACCAAACAGCCACATTATAGGCTTTATTCTCCCAATATGTAAATTATGTTATTTTAATAAGATTGCCCTTCCCCATAACAGATTATACGGTTCCCCGAGGCCGCGAGGGCGGGAAAGCAGCGATACCAAACGGATAGGTTATTTTTGTTTTATTTTTCTTATTAAACCACGACCCTGCAATAAATTTTGCACCAAAATCTTTGAGGATAAATTACTTAAAAGCTTTAAATCTAAAGATTCATACAGTTCATATGATTTGTGAAGGTAGGATTGATCCTAAAGGTCAGTATCGAATGCATTACTTATGTCAAAACTCTCTGCTTTCTTTAGTTTCATAAATGCAAGCTTATTGAAATTTTGCTATAAATCGCAATGTCTTAACAAAGTATGAGGTTTTTATGAAACAACTTACTAAGCTGTAAATCACCCTCATTTGTAACTTGGACGACGTTCACAAATAGCGCCCAGTGTCGCCATTTCTCCAGTCTAATGCAGCGCCACAGGGATGTATCTTGCCCAGGGAGGCGTGCTCGGACGACCCTATCAAATCCAAAACTTTGCTGCCCCATCGGTCGTCACTTCTGCGTACTATGTGCCCTGCCTATTGCCATTTAGCTAGCTAATCCGTGCTACCAGCTATACCTAGCAGTATGGAAATCATTAGGGGAGCTTAGGCCTAATGTTTAGCAGTGGACGTCCTGTGGCTGAAATTATGATATTAATGATGAGTATTTTTAGAGTCTTATTAAAGAAAACCCCTAAAATGCCTTTATAGGTTTGGGGCCAGATAAGTACGGGCCTGGCGTTGTCCCACGGCCGACTTGTTACGGGAAAATGCTGCAATCAGAAATGTCTCGGGACATCGTGACGAGAGATACCTAATATTATTAGGTAAGTATTTGCTCCTAACGCCATGACATTTCACAATCGTATCGTAATTTAAAGTTGTATCATGAAACTGCTTGGGGAAAAGCAGCTTACATAGCACATCCAGCATTCCAGTTTGGATAGGTACTTACCACTTCCAAAATACTCAATACTAACAATCTTGTTTCCCATAAATTCTTTTCGGCGATTAATTAAAATGTGTCTTTGGTCCGATCTAGTAGTTCAAAGTTTGATCCTCGGCTTCTAGGTGCGTACGCGCACTATAACTACTAATAAATTATTACTAATCTAGGTATACTTACTACCCGTTCGCGCTAAGTTTGCCGGTCCGTGGAATGCGCGTCCCCTCCTCCAACCGCGATTATACGCAAATAATAATTAGTGATTAAACGCAATTGAGTTTTTTATTTTACGCAAATACACAATTTTTATCAATATTAATAAATAAAAAATATTTTCAATATAGTTGGCTAAAGTTATAGACGCTTTCCTTCGAGTGACGTCATATCGCCAGCGGCAAACTTATCGCGAACGGATAGTACTTAGGTACATGAATTAATTGTAGTAAGTAGTTCACAAATTGGCGATTGCTTCATACAATAATATACCTACCTAACTTGAAAATTGGACGAACTGAACGATAGCAATCGAACTCGGTACACTCTTGATAAAAAATAATGAAAAATACACCTATTATAGTGGAGACTACGTCTGCTCTGCTGAAGGCAGATGTTCNGGGGGGGGGGGATGACCGCCCCGGGTGCCAAGCCATGCTACGCCGCCACTGGTCCTATGGCTGAAATGATGATGAACTATTACCAAATAGTACGAGACCTCATATACTACGTACGAGGAGATAATTTGGTACGATAATTTGTTTCCTTGTTATTGTTTTTATAGTCTACTAGCTTTCCGCCCGCGGCTTCGCCCGCGTGGAATTTTGTCTGTCACAGAAAAACTTTATCGCGCGCGTCCCTGTTTCAAAAACCGGGATAAAAACTATCCTATGTTCTTTCCCGGGACTCAAACTATCTCTATGCCAAATTTCATCAAAATCGGTTGCGAGGTTTAAGCGGGAAAGCGTAACAGACAGACAGACAGACAGACAGACAGACAGACAGAGTTACTTTCGCATTTATAATATTAGTTGGGATTCTTCCTTTATATATTTAATCTTTTGAAAATCAATGTGAATACAGTGTCGAACTAATGCCGGGTGGCATTATCTACCAGCCAACCACAGGTCAAGTAGAAAAACTGAGACGTTCGAAAATTACTTATGACAGTTTAGATGCTTGAACCTGGGCTTGACACGCTGCCGCGTGTCTAGATAATACCTACTTTACATTAGGATTACATAGGATTTTTGTTTCAGAACCTCTGTTTACCCGCGATAATTTTGACAAGTTACCTGTTAAGGGGTAGTGTTCGGGCCAGCCTGCCGGGGTGAGGGCCTGGCTGAGGGCCAGGACCCTCATCACCCACCGCACCACAGGGGACGAGCTGCAAGCCTCGATTGCCCTCAGAAATCTCGTAATCGCCACATTTAAATTTAACATTTTTATCTGTTTAATAAAGTCTTAAAATCCTCACGCAGTACAATTTCTTATACATTTTCGATGCACACCACTCTCTAAAAAGTTGTATTTAAAAAAATGCAAATCTTTATAAATCGAGAAGATTAATATCGATCACTCAATCACGTCACGTTTAACGCACTGCGCTCAGCGACTGATCGCAATAGTAAGTAAATCGTATCCACCAAAACTACTAATGAGTCTAATAGAACCAAGGCCTATGCTGTGTTAAGCTATATGCATACGATTAACACGTAATTAAAAGTATTTGAAAATTAAGGATTAGCAAGCTAAAATGGCTAGACAAGGCACATAACACGTAGAGCTGACGGCCGATTGGGGTAAAAAGATTCTAGAATGACGACCATTATAGCGCTAAGTGGACAGATGACTATACTATACTTACAGGGTGTATCTAAATCACCCCATGTACGAGTATGTTCTACGATATTGCTTATCAACCGACTTCAAAAAAGGAGGAGTTTCTCAATTCGACCCGTATGTTTTTTTTTTTCTGTTTGTTACGCGATAACTCCGCCAATTATGAACCGATTTGAACAAATCTTTTTTTGGCGTATAGGTAATACCTCAAGGGTGGTCCCATTTGAATTTTATAACAGAAAAAACAACCCCCAAGGGTGGAAAATTGGGGATGAACTTTTTTATACGCAATATCTCCGCCGATTATAAATCAATTTGAACGATTATTTTTTTGTTGAATAGATATTATCAAAAGGGTGGTTTCATGCGAATTTGAAGAAAATATTTCACCCCCAAGGGTGGAAAATTGGGGATGAAATTTTTTATACGCAATATTTTTAATTTTTAGTTTTTTTTTGTGTTCACGCATTTGAAGTCGGTTTTATTTTTTTAAAAAGTTAATTATTTTAGGAGATAGAGTTAATTTTGTGATTTAGAACGTGGTGAGAAACAACCGTGAAGCTTTGAAAGTTGATCTTCACTGGAAGCTTCTCTAGCGTAAGTAAACTACAAGTTCTCGCCAGAGTGAGAAAAACATTAAAATCCAACCAATAGGTGAAAGGAAAAAGTCACAAAATTAACTTTGTCCTAAATTTTAAAAAATTGTAGAAAATACATAGGGATGATTTAGATACACCTTGATGTAAGGAATCTAAATTTTAGCTTTGAACGTCAACTACTTGGCCACCCTGTAGATTATGGCAAAATGCCATCAATGGGAGAGCCCTGAGCAAGTCAATGGGAGAACCTATGTTCAGCTGTGGACTAGGTACTTGAAATACCTACTACCTAATAGCCGAATAATCCTGGGTTATATTTGGGATTTAAGTAATCACAGTCTACATTAAGTAATACTATTTTATATTCCTCCTTATGGAGGAAGATTGATTGTTAGTTTGAATTGAACAGGCACCGAAACTAGTGGATCGATTTGAAAAATCCTTTGATCATTATCCTATGGTAGATGCTCTTGTGCTACAAAACTGTACTTAAAGCTTGATGTGCTGGCATCTGTACCACGTCTGTACACTCCTCAGTTCTTTAAAAAGGTTTCAGCATTGCACAACACACTACAAAAAAATCATTCAATCTCATCATACTTTGAATGTTGGAATTATCAAAACGCATTCCTTGTTCGATTTTAAGTCACCGGTAGCAAGTAACTAAACGTTGAGACAGTGACAGCGTGACAGGAAACTGACAGAAGTGACAGACAAACAATTTTGACACATCTGTGTTTGACAATGGTTTGTTGACACGGAACGACGAGACGAGACTTCTTTCTTTTTGTAACCTAATATGTTTTTGTAACCTCATAAATTTATATCAGATTTGAATTTTATCTTACATAAATTTGCCAGTTTTACATCCACATTTACACCTACAGTAATTGTAATTAAAAGATTATTAAAATTGCATAGCAAAGTTGCAATGGATCTCGCTGAATTAACTGAAAACATGTCAATATCAAGGTATGTAAACAATGTGCAAACATAACTTCAAAAGAAGTTTAAAATTTATTGTTCTGAGCGTGTAAGTAAATTCGTGAGACTAGTAAAAAATAGTAATAACCAAATCTAGACCGCACTTAATTTTAATGTGGTAAATTGAAACTGAACTTAAACACGCATCTGGTGTCGTTGATAGTGCTATTTTGAAATTACCTAATGTTACTCTTTTTTCATGGCAGTGGTTCACAAACTAAGCGTGAAGACTACATAGACTGGACAGAATATTTTATGGCTATAGCATTTTTAGCGGCAAAACGCAGCAAAGATCCAACCTACCAAGTAGGAGCATGTGTGGTAAACACAGAGAAGAAAATTGTTGGCATTGGGTAAGCTTCCCTAAATTGTTTTAAGTTCCCATATCCCTAACACCAAATTATTTTGTCAAGAGATATTAATTTGATTAACCCTTAACCACTGACGTACGTACGTGGTACGTCGGTCAAACGGTTTTTCGTTCAAAACTTCATTTTGTGCGGGAATTTTTGTGCGGGACCTATTATAGTGGAGACTACGTCTGCTCTGCTGAAGGCAGATGTTCTAAGAATGACTAAATCCTTTAATATTAGAAACAAAACGAAATTATGCGCCAAACACCTTGGGTTTAAGACTAGTGAGGACACGCCCGTATTCCTGTCGGAGCACCTGACCCCCAAGGGTTCTCGCCTTCATTTCTTGGCAAGAGACTTGGTTAAGTCCAGGGGTTACAGATTTTGCTGGACGTCCTACGGGAAAATATATGTACGGAAGACTGAAGAGTCGGCAGTTATTCTAATAAAAAGTGAAGAACACATACACAAACTGCTCTCACAAGACTGACTATCTGTGAGTTATATAAGTTATTTATATTTAATTATATTTTGTCTATTACAGTGTATCCCTTGTCTGATAAATAAGCTTTTGATATTAACTATCACTTTTATGGTTCACTGTATCTATTGTTTAACTTATAAAACTATCATTGTAACACTTTTAAGTAGTGTCCTAATGTTTTTAACTTCACAAAATGAAACATATTTATTTCAAAGATGTCTGACTAACTGTCACATAATATGTAATACACTCATTTATTGTTTGAATATTTTTTTAAATACAATGGATCGTGCGCACAAACAATCACACACATACACATATACATACAAAATTACACACTCATACAACTACACATATCAAATAAACATATCATACACATATCAAATACACATACCATATAATATTAATATATACAAATTGTCTTATCTTATACCATTCTCCACCCAAACTACCACATATAGATGCTCATATCATATTTCCGATATAAAGCTTACTTTATATTACAAAACACATCCTCTTTTTGATACTATGACTAGCTTAAATATTTTTTATCAAGTAAATGGGTGACGCAATAACTGTAAATAAAGAATTGGACGCGATAGAGATTGCACGTTCGTTTGAATGTGATGTCTCGAAGCTTAAGAACTACATTAGCGTTAAAAAAACGGACTTCACTATAATCTCCCAAAACATACGAAGCATATATAAAAATCTTGACGACTTTCTGTTAACGTTATCTAACTTTGAATTTGAAATAGACTTATTAATTTTTACAGAATGTAGAATCGATAATAACAAACCTATACCTCAAATTTTAAACTATCAATCATATTTTACGAAGTCGCAACTTAACCAGAATGACGGTGTTGTTGTTTATATAAATAATAACCTGAAGCATAAAGTCACTGAGATACAACTAGCTCAGGCGTCCTGTCTCCAGCTTCAAATATTAAATCAGACTATATTGTGCATTTATCGATCGCCTTCTAATGTTAATGCAGATGGTTTTGTAGACTCTCTTGGTGCTCATCTAGAGACTATCAATTCTAGCAAATGTATCATAATTGCGGGAGACATCAATATTAACATTGCATCTAAGTCTATTGAACCACCACATGAACAAAAAAACCGCATGAGTTACATGAATATGCTGTCTGTCTACGGCATATTAGCTGGTCACACAATACCTACACGAGAAAAGAATTGCTTAGACCACTTTATGGTAAAAATTGATAGAACCAATTTCTGTGCAACTATAGCTGTATTACAGACTAGTATTACTGATCATTACACGACCTTTCTCACTATAGGCAAAATTAAAAATCACCAAACTGCAAGTAAAACTACTTCAATTATAAATTATGAGGCTGCCATAAAGGACCTTAAATCTAAAAATCTCACAGAACTGCTTTACTGTACCGATCCAAATTTAGTGATTGACGGCCTAATATTTAAATTAACAGAGACAATAAAGGACAATACAATTATTAAAAAGATACCTAAAAAACAACGTAATATTAAGCCATGGATCACACCTGGAATTCTTCGCTGTATACGTAACCGAAACAAACTGCAAAAAAAAACAAAAGACGAACCACACAACGACATACATAAAATAACATACATTAGATACAGAAATTATTGTAACAACCTTATCAAAAAACTTAAAAGACAATATGAACGAGAATTACTTAGTAAATCTATAAACAATAACAAGTTACTTTGGAAGAACATAAAAAATATCACTCACACTAGCAAATGTAACAGTAATAATTCGGAACTAATTAATGTCAAATCATCTCCAACTGCATCTGCAGATTTTGTTAACGACTTTTTTGCGCATATTGGTGAGCAGTTGGCTAAACGCGTGCAGACGTCTGATGATGAACGGAACACTTACTTACGCGACTTACCAAGTCAGCCTAACTCTTTTGTCCTATTGGACACAGATCAGGATGAGGTTGGTAGTATTCTGATGTCGCTTAAGTCAAGCAGTGCACCTGGCTGGGACAATATTCCTACTAACTTTCTCAAACACATAAGGTCTCATGTTGTACCGATTATAACCCACTTTGCAAACCTCTGTTTTAACAAGGGAATTTTCCCGTCTTCACTTAAAAAGTCAATTATAACTCCAGTTTACAAGGCTGGGAATAGAGACAGTGTAACTAACTAACATCACACACACACACACACACACACACACACACACACACACACACACACACACACACACACACACACACACACACACACACACACACACACACACATACACTCACACTCCGCGTGCGCCATCCCCCTTACTTTGTTACTAGATATGTTACTTAGTATACCTAGTTGATATTATGTAGTATTAGTGCTTACTTTTATTAGTGCTTACTTTTATTTTTGTATAAGTACCTATTGAATTGTATTTACGCACACATTATATTCCAAGGAAGAGCGATGTCTCCTGGCACAGGCTTCTTTAAGCTTAAAAGGAGGCATCGATCATTATTAATTATAAGCAATTCCGCTGGTAATGAAATAAAGATTTATTATTATTATTATTATTATCTTTATTAACTTTGGTTCTTAATTTTAAATATTTTTTTATTATTATTATTATTATTATTATTATTATTATTACTTATCTATGTCAGTCAGTCACCTTTGAGTTATGTATAATTATTTAGATTTTGATTTTTGATTTTGAACCAACATATTTAGTTCATACGAGCACAATCCGATCGAGTTAACTGCGCACCTGACAGCAGTGACGTCACATAGACATGACTCTGGTACGGACGGGGCGAATGCGAGGAGTCGGCTGAACCATTTAAGAACCTAGTAAGGGACACTTTTTCAGATTTTCGTTTTTTGTCATAAATCACCTTAGAATTAAGGCCTTCACAGGATGTGAAGACAGAAATCGCTCTATTACACTTAACACCGGAGAAACGCGTTGCTAAAAACCTAGTAAGTAGTAAGTAGTAGTAAGTCCAATTCAAATCTGCAAAAACCATTATCAAAACCTAGCAAGTTACAATGACCATTTAAAACCTAGAAAGTGCATGGACTTACTAGGTTTCAAAATGGTCAATGTGACTTACTAGAGGTAAAATGCTACTGTCATTTAAATATTATTTCGAGTTCTGTTGGCTGACACTCGATAACCATATCAAAATCTGGGGACTACATGAGTACTGATTCATATTCGATTTTAATTTTGATTTTTACGAGGCACTTTTGTCAAAAAAATAATTTTTAGTGTTAGTAAAGAGCATAAAACTTTTATCAATTCAATTTCTAACTAAATATATTCTTTTATTCCATAAAGTATACTTTAGTAACTAATCTTTAATATCAACATCGGAAGTTATCCAAATCTTTAAGCATCTTAGCAGGGCAAATGAAAATGCGTTTTTTCGCTCTCCTGTAAAATTTGCTCCGCTGCACTTAAGTTGTACTAGGTTCTTAAATGGTTCAGCCGAGGTTTGCGGGTGAGTGCGAGGGAGAGTCGCTTTCCAGCGAGGTGCGCAGACAGCTTGATTGGATTATACACCTGTATTGATAGTTTATATGTAGTTGACTTTGCAGACTATGAATTTTGCGTATAAGATTCATCATCATCATCATCATCTCAGCCGTTCCTATGGTGGACGTCCTCGTCCACTGCTGAACATAGGCCTCCCCCAACGTTTTCCATGTTGCCCGGTTGGTAGCGGCCTGATTCCAGCGCCTTCCTACTATCTGTATGTCGTCGGTCCACCTTGTGGGTGGACGTCCCACGCTGTGTTTTCCGGTACGCGGCCTCCACTCCAGAACCTTGCTGCCCCATATAAGATGCGTATAAGATTAATAAACACAAAATATTAGTAGTAGATTTAAGTGAACTTTTACTGAAACTGAGAGAAGGCGGTGTAATTTTTTTCTACTGGCTTAGTACAACACTGTCTTGTGACTAACTACACATTTCATTATAGCACGTATCTATTACAAATACATAAGGTAGGTACTTTGAAATGCCATCGTCCGTACTACTGTACCTACTTCGGTTGTGGTTTGACACTTAATCCAAGATGGCGTCGTTGCAGCCGACATACCACTTTGTTACTTGATAGTTGCAATTTGTATTTCAACGAAACTTATCCCAGCTTAACAGGAATTTAGCTCATTATCATTCTGGAGTAAATGAGGCGCAAAATTAAATGTTGGGTCCAGCGTTAAGTAATTGCGAGACCTCTATTTATTATACCTACACTTATTTTCTCTTCTGAGAGAAGTTTAGTTTACTTTAAGGTGTATACAGAATACTTCCGAGGGCTCTTAGACTTCATAAAGTCTGTCATTATTAACATTATCGTCAGTTTAGAAGAAGAAGACGAAAGTCTACAATCAATGTGTGTTACCAGTGATAACTTATGGCTCGGAAATAAGTGGCCTCTCACTATAGGCCTTATACAGAAGCTCAAAGTTGCACAGCGTGCTATGGAGAGGGCTATGCTTGGTGTTTCTTTGCGAGATCGAATCAGAAATGAGGAAATCCGTAAACGAACT